AATTTGATTGATTTCTTTTAGGTAAAGGTAGTGACATTGTTGATAAAGGTGACAATACATATGGTGGAAAATGGGTTATCAATCCTTCTGGTGGATTAATATCCAAAGGACATCCAATTGGTGCAACTGGTATGAATATGAATACGAAAAGGAATCAACTTCTCGTTTTTTATTTGTTATGAGATTACTTGAAATTTTACTTCAGTATCAAATTTCTAATTTTTCTATTTTAGGTGTAGCACAAGTCGTGGAATTGTCGCTTCAGTTACGTGGCCTTGCTGGTGCACGTCAGGTACCAAATTGCAAGATTGCAATGCAGCATAATATTGGTAAGTATTGTTTATCATTTGACTCGAGTATAATATTTTAGGATCAGGATGCCAAATGCTATAATCTAATCTTAATTAGGTAATACACAACAGTTTAAGGTTCAAAAATCAATTCTATTTGCTCTCCTTTCAAAGTAAAACGAAAACTGATTTGAAACTCCTTATTAATTCCCGAAAAGGACTTCTGAGAGGATGCTTAACAGAAAAAGAGACATATACCATCGGATATTAGAACAATTATCAGATTATGTGCTTTTACAATATACCTACCAATGTGCACAAGCTGAGTTGTCATACCAGCCGCTCACTAAGGACCAAAGATTACAAGTATCAAAGCACAGATCCTTTGCTGCAATATCATGGGCAATCATGTAAAACATTGAAAATTTGTGTAACGAATCATTTATCGAAAAAATGATCTAAATAAGACAATATTTAAGATACAAAATTTCGACACACATACATCAATTGTTTTTGCGTATTATAAATCTTCTCGAATTTACGACAGATACCAGCATCAAAGGACTAATTTAAAGAAGAGATGTAAGCTGTGAGAAGAAGGTAAGAACTGACAGAAAAATCAAAAAGAATAATAATAATTAAGGAATTGGTGGTGCTGGTATGGCTGCATTATATCGATTAGCTTAACCATCCCGAATAATTGCGACAAATGCGAATGTTACTGTGAAAAAAATCTTTTTAAGTGATGCCATTTTTAATGAAATCAAAGAACATGCAAAAATGGTAAATGAGCTTCTTTTTTCTGTCTAAAATAAAAATTCGAAAACTTTAAAAATTGGTCATTAAATATGAAGATTTCAAACAAATTCATCTCTTTCAAGAAAAAAAATCTCTTATTTTAGGAAGCAGGTTTATCCGAGAAAATAAACAGTTCATTCAGATTTGTTTTGATCGAACCAGATAACGTTATCAAGAAATGGACTGTTGATTTGAAAAAATTTAGAATTTAGTCGGCAGTTATTGTATTGAAATTTTTTTGCATTGAAACAATGTTTAGTATTAATGTGGTAAAAATTTTCCCTTGTTCCTTGATTTCCATCTCATTATATTTTCTTTTCTTTTTGAATATTTAAACTTTGCGACAATTTGTTATTTTGCTACTGTCTCTTACATACAGGTCATATTTGTGCCAAAAAGTGCTCCAGCAACAAATTGGAGTATGAAATATAGGTCAGTATTTTTGAAATTCGTTTACTCCTCTTTAATAACATTTAGTAGTTGATGTCATATAAAACGGTTTCAGGCATTTCAGGCATTACTGAGTGGTTCCGGAATACGAGTTATCAGAAGACTCTCCTTTATATCGAGTAGTTTGCGCTGACATACCAAAGCGGTTAAACTACAATAATGATATCAGTACTTTATTGTACCTTGGCTATTTTATGTATAAAGAAAAAGGAACGGGAATGTCTAATATTCGCTTGTAATTATGAGTAAATAAAACAAGCTTACGATAACAGCAAATCTTCTGCTAACTTGTTATAAACACTTGTTATAAATGTAATTAATGTCTTTCTTTCTTCACCTTTTTATTTTCATCAAAATCAATTTTCAGTTTTGAAAAAGAATTAATTTATCAAAAAAAACCGAGTTTCGAATTAAACAAAATAAATAAATTTATAAAAGATCGGATTGAAATTAAATTTGTTTTTGAATTAAAAAAAAAGTGGAGAGATTTTTAAATTAAATTTTTTTCAACTCTTTCTAAGAGTGAAAGTATTCTTTGATATGATTTATTGTATTATTTGTTTGATATCTTTTTTTTTCTTTTGTATATATCATATCTAATGTATATGATACATTTTGATTTTCTTTAACACTAGATTTTTCATTTTTCTTTTCATTCAAAATTTTTGCAGATGGCAGCGAAAGTAGTAGTTCCGGTTCAGTCAGCAATAGTACAGATGTGACAAATACGATAAATCCGGTATCAGAATCTCAATGTTGATTAGGAACATATGCTTTATTACTTAGCAGTACCTCATTCAAATTAGTATAATAATCGCTACTATACCAATTTGATACTACTATTACTATAATAAAACTATTTCATATATTACGATAATTACAATCATTTCCTATTACAATACTACCACTACTATTACGGTGAGTGCTAACTGTTTATTATTATTACTATTATTATTGTTATTATTATTATTATTATCATTATTACCATTATTATTACTATCATTATTATTATTATTATTATCATTATTATTATTATTATTACTATTGTTGCTATTATTATTATTATTATTGTTATTATTATTATTATTTCAATAATAATAATTATTATTATTATAATAATTATAATTATTATTATTATTATTATTATTATTATTATTGTTATAAACTGATTATTATTATTATTATTATTAATTATTATTATTGTTATTAACTGTTATTATTAATTATTATTATCATTATTATTATTACTATTACTTATTAGAATTGATACTGCTGGGATTATTGTCTCTTTCGTATTTATGAATAATGAATATGTTTATGACTGCCTGTGCAAGAATTGTTGCTGTTGCACACCTTCGTTATTAATGAAATTAATTCATCAATGATCGTTTGCTTGATTAATTAATTAATTAACCGATTGATCGGTTGATTGACTCGTTGTTTCATTGGCAGTTCAGCGTTCAGTGATTAAATGATACGTTAACATTATATGACTAATATGTATTTGTTCATTAAAACTGCCTATTGTTACCATAAGCCTAATTATTATTAAATTTACTCATTTAAATGATGTCAAAGTCACTTTATCCTGCATTCTGTCACCTTTTCCTCTGTCATTTTAATCAACTGTTTGAT